TCTTGTGGTCGTATCCTTAAAAAATCTTGTAACTCAGTTTTTATTCTTTGGTTCTTTCGGTAAAGTCACGTATAAAGATAAAAACAATAAATTAAATAATAGCATACGACGTTTCGATTGCAACACAAGCAATCATCATCAGGTATAATGAAATAGCGACACAAAATCTAACCAGAAAACCACAAACAGACATGAAAGCTCCAAAATTAAAACTCAATTTTTAACACACTTCAAATCAAGATCGTTTGAATTCTATTGTCCAGCCAGACACGTGCTGTGGGTCGGACTGACGAGCCGATTGGCTGGCCGTTGAGCGTACGCCCTTCTGATTGGCCGGGCGCGTGAAATGCGTTTCAACCACATTTGGTCAAAGACGAAAGCGTGGCGAGTTGAAGACTACCCCCCCTTTTTTTGGGATTCACGGGGGCGTGCGATTGGTTGAAAAATAGGTCAGGCCCAGTGACGGAAGGCCTGAGAAGGACTCGGGGGATGGGGGGTCATCATCGTGTCTGCTGCCTTCGAACGCGCGTGTTCTGTGTGCACAAACCATCACTCTGTACCTGTGTTGCCCGCTCTGTGTATCTTGGTGATATCTGTCTGCTTATATGTCTGTCCATAATTTTTTCTGGTTATATTTTATGTCGCTATTTCATTATACCTGATGATGATTGCTTGTGTTGCAATCGAAACGTCGTATGCTATTATTTAATTTATTGTTTTTTTCTTTATACGTGACTTTACCGAAAGAACCAAAGAATAAACCATCACGTCCCACGATCGTAAAACAACACGCGAACTCCCCCGGTCATCCTCGCAGCGACGGCTTTTGTCTGGTCATCGAACAAAGACGGCGGGCACCGCATCGCGCGCTTTTCGGCATGCTTCTGCGGCCGTCTGGAACGCTCTTCCTTACGATATTAGGAAGAGAATGGAGCAATGCACTTTTATATTAAGGTCGAAAACTAATTTCTTTAGAACTGCCGTTTGTGTTTTTTTTGTTGTCTTTCCCCCGGTACCTTCGATGGGCACGGTTGGCTACGTAGGGTGCGAAGGAAGTTCAACATACACGTGGTATGTATGCATGCCGAATACACATTGAAAGTGAATAAACCGCTTGCAAGTGTGATGAAAAAAATAACTCTTATCCACTCGCTTCTGAAACTGTTGAGGTTTGGAGACAAATCTGGCATCATCCAGCAGTAGATTGAGAATGACTGTAACTAATCCAAGTGGACTGTCACACATGCGGATTTAGCTGGGCTCACCAACACCGTTCAGCTTGGTCTGTGGCCAGAATGATGGCTTTGTGCGGCTCTGCTTAGCAGACTTTGCGCTTGCGAGGGCTTGCCAGAGCGTATAAGCTGTTTTAGGAGGCGGGGGATAAAAATGGGCATCAAGGAACGATATATTTATTATAAAACGTGAATATACGCGCAAAGTATTAGGTTTGTGCAGACATCGGTGTATGTATAACAGTGCGCGGGGGCCATGGTGCAATGCAGACATCGTTAATCATTTTTAGCACCGGGCGTGGAAGGACTGCGGCCAGGGAGTTGGGGGAAAAGTGACTGCCGAGGTTGCTGGTTCAAATCCCGCAGCGGACTTATTTTTTTAAAGATTTAAAATGCACTTAAGGCTGCAGCATAAATGCCGTGGGCTTATGCAGCCAAAGCGAGTTGCCCGTGCACGAGAAAACAGGGTGGCTCAAAGCGGTCCACTCTCGCCAACACTTCCCTCCATACGGTGCGAGATGTCAGGCAGCGGTGGAGTGATGTTAACTCCCTCGCCTGGTCTGCAGGAGGTCGTGGGTTCAATCCCGACCCCGACGCTTATACATTTGGAGTTTGCATGGCTCTCTTCCCGTGGTCGCGTGGATTTTTCTCCGGGTCCTCCGGGTTTCCCCTCCTCCACATTTAGAAACATGCGTTGAGAGTAATTGGCTGCTGTAAATGTCCGCGTTTAACAGTACTGCTTTCTTTTTTATTTTGATTATCAGCTAACACCGGCCACAACCCCGAGTCGATGTGCACCAATTATTCTCTTTTAGCCCCCCCCCCCCCACCGTTCCATTCCTTGGCTACCACATTCAGATAAGCCCCTCCCCTTTAACTTGTATTTAAGAGCTTGTCTCTTGGATTTTTTCCTCACTTGATACTGTACATTTAGCTGTGATGGTCCCACCTGATGACAGGAGACTTGTGTTGCCTCCGAAACGTCGTGATTTATTATTTTATTTCTATTATTATTTCAATTATTTATTTTTTACCTACATGACTTTACCGAAAAAAACTAAGAGTATGAATCCTTGCAGTCACGAAAGCTTCAAATCTAGAATGTCCACATAAGCCACTTTGTCGAGCTATACTTGTGGCCAGGTTACTTCTGAAAAAAAGCTGTATAACTCAGTGGGCCTGACCTGGTAAAATAAAACGTTCATCGTTTCGTAGTTTATTCGTGCAATGTTTGTATTCCCCTGTAAGATTACCTGAATTTACTACTGGCATAGCAATTAGCAGCGAACTGGACTTGCAAGCCAGAGGTAACAAGTTCGATTCGATCCCATCCCGTGCGGCTATCGAAACGATGACGCAGTTAGAGGAGCCAACGCATCCGTCCACACAGCGGTAACAAGTATAACCCGTAAAAACAAAGTTTTTCACTATAAATCCTTTATATGCGTGGCGGCTAGAGTCCTCTCGTCCTCTGGCTTGAGATGGCTGCCACCTATGGGTCAGATGATTGCATTGCACCATTAAGCAATTGGTAATTAAATATATTTTTGTCCTAAAAAGTGTAAAATTTTGGAAAAAAATTGTCACGAACATTAATTGTCACGCACGAGTCTGTGTGCAAAATGTCAGCTCGATTGGATCACGGGAAGTGGGTTAAAAAACGACCGAAAGATTTGCACGGTCGTAAGCAAGCAAGCGATCCTTAATATAAAGGATTTAAAAATGGTGGGAACACCGTAGCGAGTCGATCGCAAGTTCCAAAGTGGTGTGATAAATTGTGGGTACTTACACCGCTTACAGCAAGTCCGCCAGCGTGGAAAGAGTAGGCCAAATACCCTGCGAGAAGAAGGGGCTCTGACAAATACCCTGCAACAAGGCAGCAGACATCGCAGCTGTCGCGATTTTCACCTGAAGACGAACGCTTGTGTTGCGTTCGAAACGTCGTGATTTATTTTATTTTATTTCTACCTACGCGACTTTACCGAAAGAACCAAAGAGTAAGAAGAAGGGGCTTTGACAAATACCCTGCAAGATCTGCCAGCAGTGGCATGAGCAAGAAATTGCATGACTCAATCTTTTATGATTATTGAAGTGCAATATGAATATATTAAGCCAATCTCTTATTCAGGTGATTGCGTTAATGACTTCATTACACAGGACTGTTAAAGAGTACATGTCTTTGACCAAATGACCCGGATTGCACCGACTTTGATCGGATTTCCGAACACAAGCAGAGTTGAGCCTGGATAGCTCCCGGATGGGTGACTGCCACACAGCATGGTGAATTATGGTCACATAATTCCCATGACCATCAATATCTTATTCAGGTGATTGCGTTAATGACTTCATTACACAGGACTGTTAAAGAGTACATGTCTTTGACCAAATGACCCGGATTGCACCGACTTTGATCGGATTTCCGAATACAAGCAGAGTTGAGCCTGGATAGCTCACGGATGGGTGACTGCCACACAGCATGGTGACATAATTCCCATGGCCATCAATATCTTACGGGGCAGGCAGAAATCCTCGCCTATAAACATCGGGCAGCTCACCAGCACTGGTTCAAGTAAACCCGACTGCTGATGAGAGTCAAAACTGGTCAAGAATTAGCTTTTAATGAAGCAATACTGCTAAGATGCACCCCCAGAAGACTGTGTATGATGGTTTGTGTAAAACAATACTTTAAATTATTCATATGATCCTTATGGCGGTAGCCCGGGGTACCAAATAATACAAACTGGCCGAGGCAATTAAATACTTTATTTCTGAGACACTATTTTTTCCCAGGGGTGGACTTAACTCCGCGACTGGGGTACCAATCAATCCGAAATCAGTGTCACACTCCGCGATGTCGAAACGCAGCGAGGACGATTACGCCACAACCCTGAACGCTCGCGGTACGCGCCGTAGTTGTGCATCGTGTACAGCTCGTCGAGATGAGTCGATTGCCGCATCAAGGACATTATGCGAGAGCCGGGGTGCCATGGTACCCCGGAGTACCGCCATAAGGTTCATATAGAGAGACAAATATGGTAAGGGGGTAGTATTTATTTATTGTTAACATTATCCACAACGATGCTTAACGGTTACATTTAATTTGGGGAGGTGCATTTGTACGCTTGGCGAGAGAATTAAAATTATATGGAATGCTGCCAAATGTTGACAGAGTTTAATGCCTGAAGGCTCGTGTAAAGTAAAACATGGTTTGGTAAACAGAGTGCACACCATTGGAACCTCATTTGGCAGTAAAAAAATGATAATTGGTTTTTTACCCTTTTATCTGGCAACAAAACTGAAAAAAGGCATTTTGGCGTCATCTGGTCCAACACCATGTGAGACTAGGCTCTAAAGAAAGCTGTCTCGGGTGTGGACCAATCAACTTCAAGGACAGTGCATACATTATCAGAGTTATGTTTTTTGTTTGTATTATGACTGCAGGAATTCTGGTCTATGCAAACATGACTCCTCGTAAAAAAGGTGTCAGTTTTGTTTCCAGATAAAAGAGTAAAAAAACTATTATTAGAGTGCACACTGTTATACAGATTCTACACCAGTCAATGCATGTTCAAATTGGTTTCTTTCAACTTAGTCGTAACACACTAGGAACTCCGAATCCTTTACTTGCTTAACTGCCACAGGCTCCTGTTTATAGTGTCATAAAGAATACATCACGAAAATGAATAAAATGTTAAGCACTGGCGATAGATACGCTTAACCCACACTGGCACCGATCTCGCAAGAAGCCGCGAATGTGATTGGGCGATGTTTGATGAGGTTTTTTATTTTATTTTTTATTTCAAACATCTCAAGTACAGCCCCGGATGAATTACGCATCAGAATCGTCTCAGGATGAATACAAAAAAAAAGACACGGGAAACACTCCTGACAATTACCCAACAATGATCTCTGTGACCGACATGGCACGGAGTGGACTTCATCCGGCAGTGGATTGACAAACGGGCTTTCTGTACATTAGTTTCACACGTAAAATACAACAAAAACCCACAAAATGTACCGCACAACAGAACCCACATCATAATTACTGTAGCCACTATAATCTATCCCAAGTACGGCAAACTATATACACACAATCTTATACACGTGTTGTTATGCAGACGTAAACTATAAGTACTGAACGCCACACGCCTTACTGAACCGTGGATGGTTTCCGATGCAATCCTATCGTGTTTGGTTCACTCTCGGTGTGCAGACAGGAGCCCTAATATTTACATGAGCTTACTGATGGGTAAATATTGGTCAAGGCACATTGGCTCAGGGGGGGATGACTGACCTGTGTGAGAGACTTAAGCATTCGCTCGACCCACACACCCCAGCAATGCCCCCCCCCCCCTCATCCACCTCCCAGAAGCCCGGCACAGTCCCGTGACGGTACACATCTCCCCCCACGATAGGTTAAGAGGAAGCAAACACGCATCATAATGATGATGTGTGCAGCCCCGTCGTCAGCTTATTGCCGGATGAAGGCCTCCCTCCCCACGTCATATCTGCTTTGTCTTTAGTTTGTTGTCCCCCCCCCCCACGCCTCCGATGAGCACGGTCGGCTACTTACGGTGGTGCGAAATACGTCCAACACGCATACCTACATATATGTATCGCGATCTCCTTCTTTCTCTGGTACACGAATGAGACGTCATCGGGCACGGTGGCTACCCAACCGTACTTCTCCACACTCGTCAGTGTGGCTCAGTGGAGCGGAGGGACCCAGCAGGACTGGTTCGTATGTTACTCGCAGCGAGGTGACAGAATATACAAGAGATAGAGACGACAGACAATAGAGATACAGATGAGACGGCTGTGATGGAACGAGCTGTAGACCAGACAAAGAATATGTCAAATGAAAGATGAGACAAATTAACTTTTGATGTTCATTGAAATATATTTTTCTGACTTTGCTTTGTCCCTATAGTTTTCATAAACCCAGAGCCCCTGCACTACTTGGGGCCATCAACTTTTGCTGAATTTGCCCGCGTCTAGCGCCAACGCCGATTATTCCACAACGGGAATCGAACTCGAGTTGCCCTGTGCGTGGGGACATGCATTACTGCTCACCGGTTTCCCAGGGCGCCAAATGCCCACCAGTAATTGTCAACGCTGTATTATACTCGTGGCTTTAACACTTCTCTTAAATCCCACCCCACCCTGCCCCCTCAGCAAAATTTGCGTCACAAAGTAAATTAATGCATTCGTGAGACAGGCAGCCACCGTTTACAAGAAGATAAATGTTTTGTTAAAGCCGATAACTGACCCACGAGGAGTTGTGTGTGTGTCCTGGTTTGCGTGCTTTTAAAATGTTAACTTGAACAAAAAACACCCGAAAACTTACTTCTTAACAGCAGCACATCGATTTTTCCCCGTAAAACACGCCACGATTTAAAGCACCACCCACAGCAACCCCGCCGATAAGTTTGTTTTGCAGCTAATAATTTAGATCAATCCACTACAGGGTCAAATCCACTCCTCGGTGAATGTGGTTTGCCAAAAAAATTATAATTTCCGCAAAAAACAGCATTTCTGACCGTTCCGAGGGGAAACTGAGCACCGACACCAAACGACCAATGACCGAGAGATGACAAACGAGCGACCGAACTAACCGACAAACACAACGAGCGCAGTCGAAAAGCTTCCGACCCGAAGCGACCGTCACGACTTCGACTTCTGGCCCTGCCGGACGGTGGCCAGCAGAGCGTCCTTGTCAGCGCGGTAGCCCGAGCGCTGCCAGACGGCGCGCAGGCGCTGCAGCTCCGTGCCGATCTCCTTGCCGGACGTGAGGCCCAGCCGGCGGAGGTCGTGGCCGCTCACGGGGAAGGCCGGCGGCCTCCAACCGTCCAGCTCGCCGGCGGGCCCCGCCTCGCCCAGGTAGCGCAGCAGCTCGCTGGCGCGAGCCTTCGCCTCCCCGTGCGGACGCGCCTGCGCGCGACAACGATCGGACACGCGGGCAGGCACGCACGCGGGCGGGACGGTGAGCGCCTGTTAAGGGTGCAGGCGGTACACTGGGACGAGGGTGTCGTGACCGGAAAATCTGTGCTGCCTTGTCGATGTTTATACTCTGCACTCATTAGGCGCGTAAGTGCTTGCCGCAAATGAGCCGCGATGTCGCGCTGATCTCGTCAAGGAGCGTAAACGGTCACGCAAACTCGGGTCATCCTCGCAGCGGCGGCCTTTGGCGAGCCCATCGAACAAAGACGGTCGCCGCATCGCGCGCTTTCAGATGCGCTTCTGCGGCCGTCTGGAACGCTCTTTCTTCCTTTATTAGGAAGCCACTGGAGCTATGCACGTTTAAATCTAGATCGAAAAAATAATTTCTTTTAGAAATGCTTCTTGTGTTTAGTTTGTTGTCCTTCCTCCCCACACCTCTGATTAGCACGGTTGGCTACGTACGGTATGAAAGGTCAACATACATACATCTGATATTTTCATTCCATGCAAGCGTCGTAGCCGCATTAATCGAGTGCTGCAGCGTTTCCACTTTTCGCGAGCTCAAGTCACTTCTGTCACCGCAAGCACCTCTTTATATTCCTGGTCGACACGTGCGTTACAGTTGGATAACGCCAAGGTGCAACATACACCCACGCTACGGAAATGTTACGAATGCCAAATAGATTCAATGACTACATCGTCATTGTTATTGTAACCAGTGACGCCACGAGGTTCGGCGCTCACGTCGGCGACGAAGACTTTGATGGAGCCGAGCGACATAGCGCCACGCTTCGGAAATGTCGCGAATCCAAAATGCCTTTGATTGCACCGTTGTCACTACAGTAAACGCGGTGACGGCACGGCTCTACAGTCGGTGACGAAGGCCTTGATGGAGCCGAGCGGGTCGTCTCCGTCCGCGTCGGGCCGCAGCTCCCCGCGGTGCTTGACGACGAACGCCGCCAGGTTGCGCTCGTCCTTGGAGAGGCGGAGACGCGCGTCCAGCTGCCCCACGTCGTCGGCGCAGCGCAGGAGCGCCGACAGCAGCGTGATGGGGCGCGGGGGGGAGGCGCGCGAGCGCTCCCACACGCGCTGCAGCTCGACCACGTTCCCGTCGCATGGCAGGCCTGCGCGCGTGGGGGTGGGCGCGGCGTGCGGGTTATGAGGGCCGCGTGATGACGCAGCCAAATTGAACAGGTTGATTCGGTGGGTGATGTTGCGGCTGCCACGTTGACAGTGGTGCACGAATGCACGATTGACGACACCAAAAATCAACACATTCATCTTCTTGGTTCTTTCGGTAGTCACGTAGAATGTAAAATAATAAAATAATAATAATAAAACATAATAAAATAATTCTCACGACGGCTACTTGCGTTGTGGCCGAAACGTCGTGAGAATTATTTTATTATGTTTTATTTTTATTATTTTATTATTTACATTCTACGTGACTTTACCGAAAGAACCAAGAATATGAATCCCTGCAGTCACGAAAGCTTTAAATTGAAAAATCAACACATTCGTCAATAACATTGCGTGGTATTAGTATAAAAAGACCAAAGTAGGAGACGTTTCTTCTTAATAGCATGTGAAGAAGTGCCAAATTCATGTCGTGAAGACTCTCCCACCACCCGATTCGGCCAAACAAATGAACGTGTCACCTGTGCAAGCATCGAACAACGAGCCGCCGCTTATGATTGGGCCGTCTACGAGAGAGCTCCAGAGAGTTCCTCTCACGAGATATTTGGGGTACTCTTCCCACGCTGGCCGTACATATTCTCACAGAAATGAGTACCCACCCCAACCGCACACAACCCTGCCATCTGACTGCGGTGCGCCCATTCACACGGTGTGACAACGTTGGCAGAGACAACGACTAAAATTCAGGTCTCCCTCTTTCGTATGGATTGATAGCAGCAGATTAAAGATGTAATTTTAGATGTTGCTATCCACGCAATTGTCTGTTCAGACGCAGAGTGGATTTCGTCCATTCCTCCTTTAAAGGAGTGAAAGCAGCACCAGCAGCGGAGTGTTTGGGATGCTGGTCGATGGTTAGGGATTCCTGGCCGGACACTCGCAGGGCCGCCCTGAATCTTTTGACGCGCCATTTGTGCGTCAGGTGGCCGCATCGGCCACGCGGCTCAGTCCCGATTCGGTTGATGGTCGGCCATTGGCAGCATGGAAGGTTGAAACCGGAAAATTCTACGGGAGGGTCCTGTATGAGATGTTTACATTTGACTTCGGCCGCAGTCCAGACTCTCGCTTCCATCCCTCGCCTTCGTTTGTATTTGTGGCGTGGAGCGAGGCCGCTGTGATCCAGACGGCGTGATTTTAGGCGAACAGGCGCCACCGGGTTTATGTCCCGATGTAAAATTCAGGTGCAGCCCTTCAATCGCTTGTTTACGATGCTGATCGCAGAACGGCCTGCCCACTCGTTCTCGACAGCCCCCCTATGGAGAGTACATTGGCCATCTCTCCTACCCATCGACACGACCTGCTGATTGACTGTGGTGTACCCACTTATATGGCTGGGCGAACAGCGGCAGTGGGAGGGGACGGGGATGTAATAAGCTCACCCATTGCTTCAACTGGAGATTGAATTTAACCGGCGTCTTCGAGTGTGCCTAACCATTACACCGCCGCGGCAGCATCTTGGCTATCATGATAACCATTATATGTGCACTGAACTTCTTTCGCACCGCCAACCGTGCTCATCAGAGGTGCGGGGGAAGGACAACAAACTATGTACAAAAAGCAGTTCTAAACAAATGAGCTTTCAATCTAGATTTCAAAGTGCATAGTTCCAGTGGCTTACTAATATTGGAAGAGCGTTCCAGATGGCCGCAGAAGCGCATCTGAAAGTGCGTGATGCGGTGACCGTCCTTGGTCGATGGTTATGCAAAAGCCGCCACTGCTAGGATCACGTGGTGAGGGTTTATGCTCCTTGTGGAGACCAGCAAGCTATTCTGGTTCATTTGTGGCAAGCACTTTGTCTGCACTGAGTGCGACCTTACAATGCATTCCCGGAAGCCAATGCTTCTGGTCAAATACCGGATTTATTATATGAACACGCCGTACCTATGTGTGGTGCCACGCCGAGCTTGTAGATGAGAGCGAAGAGGTGACTCGCATGGTTTCCCATGAGTGTCTTCTTCAGCTCCACCCAGATGCGCTCGCCCGCGATGCCGGCCAGCCCGCTCGCGTTGCGCTCGATCGCCACCAGCGTCTGTGGCTCGTGCGCGTCCGCGTGCTCGGCCACGGATCCATAAAACCTGGAAGCGCCACGTGCAAGGATTGAGATCAAGCGTCTACTCGACACGGGCTGTCGAGGCGAGCGCCGTTAGCGCGGGCACATTCACGCCTGCACGGGGACGTGAGTTCGGGTGGGGGGGATTCGCCAGCACCGGGTCCGGCCGACTTTGTCTCCCGAGCGCCGAGCGAGTTGTAGGCACACTGGAGCGGGCGGTCACTTTAAAGCTGGCTAAATCGAACTCGGGGGGGAGGGGGCACCCAGGACAGGTTCAGCTAACTGCCACTCATTTGGGCTAAAGTTTGGAATCAAAACTCAGGTGGCTAGATTTGTTCCGCAATGCACTAACCACTGTCCTGCCACTGCAAAGACAAATATCCCCCGTATAGCCTTAACATACCGTTGGGCAAGTGATGTTAGCGAGTAGCACCAATGAAGGCCGGAATGGAACATGAGGGGGTGGGTGGCCAGCACCACGAGATGCCGTCTTTGTCTCCCTACTGTCGATGTTTACACACCGCACCAGATACTCAATTGAGGCTGAGTCATCCTAAGGCGAGGCCCAGAACCGGTTCAGATAATCGTCACTGGTGTTGGCCGTGAGCGGGAATCGAACCCGGTTCGCCGTGTTCATAGCACAGTGCGCTGACCGCTACACTACTTCTCCCTGCCACGCACATCCAAGCCACCCTCCAAGAAGCAATGGCTCAGCACTGCAGCTCAAAAGTCAACAGGTCAAAGTGTCTCCCGACTCAATGAGCATCAATGGGACAGCCGCTCAACTCCACTGGTGGCTGCCAAACAGTCGTAGCAATTCCACAGGCCAGTCTCTCCAATACGCGACCACTGTTGATGTGATACTTGTTTTTTTACCCTTCTATTTGGCAACAAAACTGACACCTTTTTACAAGGAGTCATGTTTGCATCTGGTCCAACCCATGTGAGACTAGGCTCTAAGGAAAGCTGTCTTGGGTGTGGACCAATCAACTTCAAGGACAGTGCACATTATCAGAGTTATGTTTTTTGTTTGCATTATGACTGTATGTATTGTGGTCTATGCAAACATGACTCCTTGTAAAAAGGTGTCAGTTTTGTTGCCAGATAGAAGGGTAAAAAGACAATTTTCATATTTTTACTGGCAAATGAGGTTCCAATGGTGTAAACACTGTTGACGTCCCACCAAGCGGTAGATATTTAACCGCCCTGGAGAAAACGATGGGCCGAGCGAATCACTTGACCGCGGTACGAACTTGCAACCTTCCAAACGCGAGACCAAGCATGCCATGCACACAGTCACCCGGCCACACCGTTAACGTCTATGCGCTCAGCACTTCATCAAATAGATGTTCAGGTCTTGGGTATTTTATCACCAATTGTCACCCGAAATGCGCGAGGAAAAAAAAGGTCCTTTTGGAATGGTCATTCCGCAAGGGCATCCCCTTCCACATCAGGGAATAAAGGTGAAAAATGACACCATAGTGATCCTTCTGTAGCCACTTTGGAATATTTGGCTGTTGCTACACTTGTAAATCTGGCTTAAAGCAGGCGTGGCTGCCCAAGCATCAATGCAGCCAGCAGCGATGCCTCAGTGGTCAAACATGATGCGAGTCATCTGGCCACCTAACGAGCATTGTATTCAGGTTGTGACTTTAATTTGATCCTTTCTCATTCACCAAAAAACTATTTATATGGTTTTCAAGTCACCGACACACACACACACAAAAAGAACGAAGAACAGACATCCCGTCCATCTATTTTACGAGACGCAGAATAGGTGGCGTTGAAGAAATATATATCCTCCACGAGACTGCACCTCCCGCAAAAATCAATGAATGTAAAGACTACTTATACGCAAGTGCACAGCGGCTTGATTGCTCTCGCAGACACCCATTGTGTTATTTCTCTAGACTGATTCATAATATTGATTTTCAAAAGAAAAGTAAAGCCAGACTTGTACGTCCAAGTTCAGCAGACGGGGGGATTTTTTTTTTCTCTCTCTACATAAATGATTTATTACAAATTGTTTCACAATATTAGCAAGAGTCTGGTTCTTATAATGAAGCACCATTTCGTTAAATCAATCGCGTAAAGTGCTGAGCCATTAATCCTGATGTAGGAGTGGTAAATGGTTTAAAAGTGAGCCAAAATAATTGTGGGAAACTTATTCGAGTACCAAGGCTCGGTTACACGTACGGTATTTGAAGGTATGTACAAGTGCCAAATTTTGAAAATGAGTTGAACACGTAGGCTTTCGTGACAAACATTATTCATAATAAGGTGTTTGGGTTAGAACGCGTAAATATTCATGTGTCGTTAACACACCACCACTCGACACAGCCAATTAGTGAGGTTTGTCACGTGAACAAATCGTGCCAATTAGTTACTACTTGAGCACACCGGCTTGTTGGGAGAGTCAACCCACAATATTCACAATTGTGAATAATGTGGGTTAACGACACATTAATATTTACGCGATCTCACCAAAAAAACCTTTATTTTGAAAACTACTTGTAAATTACTTAATTGGGGAACACCGTGCAATCCTCCTGTTGTATGGGAGAAAAGACCTTCACACACTGCTCTCTCGATCTGAGCAACACACACAGGCAACCACCAGCGTCATCAACCGGCTCCGGACATCAACCCCGTGGTATGTTCTCTGAGAAGTTACGCGAATAAGAATCCCGCAATCGTCACCCCAACCCTCTTCTTCTTTCCTATGGCGTGGGAGGGGGGGAGAGCAAGTGTGTATCGATGTGATAGTTGAATGTTGAGGCCCTTTAACCTGATCCAAGGTGGCAGTAGACGCTGTATGGATTGCAGCGATCCTGCCAGGCTGTGTGGATGGTGCACTCGACGGTGATGCGTTTGATGTTTTGGGTTTTACCATAGTCGCAGTTTGGCGATTCTTTGAATTACCCATACTCTGAAACACATTACCGGACCCTCCTGGAGGAAGGGGGGGGGGGAAGGGGTGGAGGGCATGCAGCACAGGACAGATTCAGATATCACACATCAATTATGCTAGCCAGGGTCAGAACTGGAACTCAGGTTTGCAAGGTTCATAGGTGCAGTCTGTGAGCCACTGCGCCACTGCTCCGGACAGATGAAAGGAGTACGCACCTGAAATATCGCAGGATGCGGAGATAATCTTCCTGGATCCTTTTCTCTGGGTCTCCTACGAAGCGCACCTTCTTATTTTTCAGGTCCTCCATCCCGTTGAAGTAGTCGTAAAGTGTCCCATCGAGACCTGACGACGCACGACACAAGGCGTCACTGCACGATGCCTCGTAGCCGTCGGCATCGATCGTAGAGTCGCGCCTGCTATGCGTAGTGCATGCTATGATAGTGTATGGAACTTAATAATGCCATTTTTGGAATGTGTTAATTTACAAATGAAATGCAATTGCAATTCATGGCGTGCATGAATGCCATTTGAGATGCCATTTTCGAGTTCCTCTCACTAATGTCATGCACGTCACTTTGGATTTCTAGCTAGATTAGTCATGTTTATTAACTCTTCCTGCTTTTGTACTTCACAACCCTTGTGCGTGCTAATGAATCGGCCGTTTTGGCCGGGTATCCGTTGGAAAAGAGCTTATTACCTCAATGAGCCTCACGCGAAATAAACCGACCGACCGCTTCATCGTATAATTACACATTGTGCATAACGGAGACATGACAATGACACTTTAGGCTTCGTATGGCAAGATGCGATATTTGTAACACAGCGTTCTGCAGATTATAGGATGCTGTTTCCCCGCTGTAGTTTAAAGCAAAAGTTGGGAGTGTATCAAATAATCTGGTAGTGGTATGTGTGTAACTATATTTTTACAAAATGATTGACACAGGGCACAAAAGTTTTGGGTTTGTCTTATTTTCCCGAGTGTCTTATAATCAGGGGAATGCGGTAGATGTAGGCTTTCAAGTTATTGATGCAGTAGAAATATTCATCAATAAATGGGTTAATTTAATTACTAACTAAACGTTATATGTTACCAGGTAAGGCCCACTGAGCTATACAGATTTTTTTCAGAGGTGACCCAGCCACAAAGGACAGCTCAATGAAGTGGCTTATCATGTGGACATTTAGAGCGGCCAAAAACTCTAAACGCGTGATGTTGATTCTAACTATGGAGTGAAAAACCAGAGGACCCGGATAAAAATCCACACGACAGCGGGGAGAACATGCAAACTGCAAATATGCAGGCGCCATGGTCGTGATCGAACCCACAACTTCCTCCTGTACACCAGGCGACGGAGTTAACATCTCGCCACCGTGATCACCGAGAGGAAGGAGGATTTAACGAACATCAGTCGGTCAAAACATTGGCATTTTCCTTTGCTCTTACAGTAAAAACACAGCCTGTAGTTGTATTTAATTGACCTGTTATGCGTGTATATTATACCACTTCGCACGTATTGTGGATAAAAGTACTGAAAATTACAATCATCATCATGGCAGAAAAATACGAATATTAACAACTTCAGCATCCTTATTATCAACACAAGGAGTCATCATCCCACACCGTTATCACAAAATACATGTATTGCATATTTTTTTTTATGTGATGTAGTTTGTTCTAAAACTTACATTTTAGTGAGTATAAAATACATTAAATCTTGACTTAAAGCTTTCGTGACTGCAAGAATTCATATTCTTGGGTCTTTCGGTAAAGTCACGTAGATAGGTTCAAAGAATATTTTTGGTTATTTTCTTTGAACCTATCTACGAGACTTTACCGAAAGACCCAGGAATATAAATGCATTGCCCATTAATAGAAAAAAACGCTGGAAATAAGCAACATTTATGTTAATGGGGAGGTTTCTTAAATCCCCAAGTTTCCACAAAGCAGCATACACGGGTCCACAAGTCAGTAGAATGGCAGGTTGAGTGTTGGGGTAAAGTGTGGGAAACTCTCGCCCTCTTTCAAGACGGTGTGGCCAGTGTGGAAGAGCAGGCCAAAAACACCGTCTAGAGTGGATCTCCAAAGCTCCCACTAATGGAACGGTGTGGCATGAACCGCAAATTGCAGGGCTACACATTTGCCTAAAGTTACGTGAAATAGCTCTCACCAATAAATAAGGGCATGGTTATGCCCAATGCATTAAAATCACAACACAATTTGTATTCACAAGATGTCCACATTTCAAATATACAAAGGCTTTTCATGACGAATAAAATGAAGATCCAGGAGTTGATAAAATATGTAAATCAGACATCCACGTCTGCATTCTCCGCTCTAAAAGTGCAACGTGTCGGCTTATATTAAATGTCACTACTACGAGGCACACACCCACAAGTCAACATCTGACTTTAGTACGGAGGCCTTCCGTGTCTCAGCACAAATTAGGCTCAGCGTATACACACGGGCTGCGTTTATTCACTTAGAATGATGCATCGACTGCATTGGAAGGCGTAATTTGTATTTATGCATTTCGGAATTTATGTTTTAATAATGTGCACAAAGAGTGTTGACAGCCGTTATTCTACTGCACAAGAAGCAGTGTTAACATAAATGGCCAAAAAAGACATCTGAAATAACTTGACACCCTTTAACATATTTAACAATGACACTTAAATTACTTGGTGTGACGTATTTATTACCTGTAATGTAGCATGTATAATTTATAAGTGTGGAAATGTTCCCCTTTAAAGCGTTGTCTGTTTAAATAACAAATGCCCCTAGAAAGAAAAATAAATAACTGCCTTAATTTAAAATTGCCCAAGTTGCTGATAAAATAGCTGAACACAGTCCCAGAAGAAACGGTTCATGATGATAATGTTTGGACCGGGCTCAGAGATTAAACTTCAATTAGATAAGGTGGACTGAAACAGTTTTTTTTTAAGAATTCACATTTTCCAGCAAATTGGTAAATCATGCAATGGGCCATCGGGTTTGGATAAGGCTGTTGCAGAGTAAACAAAGAAAATGTTTGGACACAGGTATTAAGCGTTTAAACAAAAGTTACAGCAATGTCCTCCACCTTTTATTACCCCCCTGTGTTGTGGCTCTAACAATCAGATAGACCACAAATGACCAAAATAAATATAGGGCCCCAAGCTATTTGGTCTGAAAAAGGGAGATAGAGACACAGGAATAAATAGAAAAATCTCTCCCCCCACAAAAGCGGTCCCAGACCATCCATCTATCTTCTTTAGAGCGGACAGTTTTGCACGCCGCTGAAAGAAATTCAGTACAACTCGGAGTCTCTACCACAGATTCGTGTCGCCTCGGCCAAGCGGACCGTGACTGCAGATCCTACCCTCTGTAGACTGGAAGTTTCTTTTTTTTTCTTTCCCCAAAGTAAACTACTGCAGTGCGGGCTCGTAAATGAGTGTGTCATGTGAGGACACTTTTTTCTGGGTTTTATTGGCTGACCAATCGTTTGCAATGTCCAGCACTGCAAGCGATCTGTATCACTGGAGCAAGGTCCCACAGGACTTAGGGGCCTGGTCAATGAGGAATAGAGTTGTAACTCCGTAGAGTCCCGACGGATGTAATAATGCGTGCTCCTGTGAGGCTTTTTTTACTACAGCACAATTATGGGTGTAATATTATTATTGCCGCCGATGTATCACCAATCCACGCCTATAACCAAATCACTCAACATGTACCAGATCTCAAAAGACCGCAGAAGCTAAGCATAACTAAGCCTGGAGAGTACTTGGATAGTTGCCCACCATGCATGGATGCTATGGGGTTATGTTTTTGGCGGCAGACAGCAGTGAGGAAAAAATCTATTATTTTATTCCCAGATCTATGCTCCCTTCCATCACATAGCCACTGCTGGTCTCCGAAACTGGCGAAGAGGGCTTAAAGCAGGGTTATTGCTTTCCTTCAGTAATATTTCCAGAATGGACTCACAGTATCAGCCACTGATAAGCCAAATATTTAAAAACATTAAAATCTGAGATTGGCAGAGTGGTTAGGGCACTGTGCCAACCGCTGCCGCACTCACTCGTGTGGTGCGGTATAGCCAAACGACTTCCATGCCCAGAATGGCATGGGAAGGCTTTCATCCAGCAGAAGATTGACATGTGCATCACTAATCAAGATATGCAGCAGCCCCGACTGACAGCAGGATTCAATCTTGAGCCAGTCGAAGGAATTAAATTCCTGTGGCAAGAACTACTTGCCGCACTGGAATCCCACTTCCGACCTCATGTTGAGTGACACTAACCAGGTGGTGCTTATTTTAGAGACCCTGGAGAGACAACGAGCTGAGTTGATCGAGTCCAGCATTTTAACCTTTAATTGAGAGCTCAATGCCATCCAAACACTTCTATATCTCAGCTCTAAAACTGTGGCGTCACATGCACATATCTTGGCAATTGAGTGCTTCGTTCTCCAAGCTAATACCACGCGTTCATTATAAAGATGCAATGTGGAATCAGCAAATAACTCCTTAGAAAACCAACTTGTGCAGCACACATTCACCAAAATGTAGCCAATTTTAAAGTGGCAATGGGTTAAAGGCGGCCGAAAGTTGTAAAACAACCTACATCTGTAACGTGCCGAAAATATAACAAACGTCTCAGAGCAATGAAATAATGGGAGGGAATGGGAGGGGCACAAACAGGCAATGAGAGAAGGCGCTCATTAAGTGGGTGTGAAGACATGGACTGATGATGATTGCTTGTGTTGCAATCGAAACGTCGTGAGAATTTTATTGTTTTATATTTTTATTATTTTATTGTTTCCCTTCTACGTGACTTTACCGAAAGAACCAAGAATACAGCCGTCAAAGTGTTGAGGTAGTAGTGATGTAGTCTGCACTGCACAGGGCTGCAGACACGAGTCTCGGCAGGCTTGGCCCAGTTCGTCCAGCAGTGGATAGGGCATGCACAACACAGAATGGGCTTTTTCACCTAGTTTTGTGGGCACAGGCCCAAAGGCCCACAATGTCAAATGGCAACCAACAAAACATCACCGTCGAAGATGTAATGGATGAAAGTTAACTTGTATCTTGAATGGAGCAAGGTAATTGTAAGGGCTTGCGGGGGGGGGGGTGAAAGAAACACGAGGAGGGAATTCCCTCGCTTAGCAGTGCGAGTAATGAATTAGAATGAGAAGTATCGTGACCAGCAGTGGTGATTCTCGAACGCAATGTGGATTGAATGACACAATCAATCGTGGTAGACCGAGTCCTCAACATGGGTAGAGGAATCAATGAGTGACAAGTTCACCGGACCAATAACCACGGCGGCAGCAACGATAGAATATTGGTAACGAGGTGGTACACCGCCAGTGAGCGAGTGACTGGAGTGATAACGCGAGAGCTGGATCGTCAAAACGGAGCGCGCGTGATCACGGCGCAAAATCCCCTTCGGGGGGGGTGGGGGGGGCACCTGCCTAGGAACATGGAGTTGATGGTGAGGTCGCGCCGCTCAGAGTCCGTCTGCCAGTCGGTGGTGAACTCCACCTCGGCGTGGCGGCCGTCTGTCGTCACGTCCACTCGCAGCGTTGTGATCTCAAAGTTCTGCTCGTGCACCTGCAGACGAGGGGGCATGCCGAGGGAAGCGAGCGGATGAGAGCGTGCAAGAGGACGCCCCCGGTAGGTCAGCCGAGGCTTCGGCCCGCCGAACGAGCTTGCCGATGGAACGCACCCGCGGCTCGAGCGGTAGACTAATGCGAGAGCTAATAAAAGGGGATGTTGTTTGGTTTTATATACCGGAGCGAACAGGCGACGTAGCACTACCCTCCCCTCCTCTCCCCAGGGGATTCCGGCCGAATGCATTTGCAGTGGGCGTCAATTACAGGACGAAATGCATCGTCTTGCAGCAGCAGCTTTGGCCCAAAAGGATGCTCTGCTTGCCTTAGCTTGGAGGCTTTCTGCTCTAACAAGCATTCATGGAGCAACAAATGGGTAATTTAACAATCGTGGGCAACCTTCCAGGTTTAGGCCATGACCCTAGCTCATCATGGTCTACTCTTGTCAATAATGCCATGGATGCATTTCACAGCCACATAAATCAGCATATGGCACGCAGTTTGATACCATTCCCCGCGGTGCATTATTGGCGGACCTACGTTGGATACGAGCCGACCAACCCTGGGAAAAACCATAAGCGGGTCACGAGTGGCACGTTCGCTGCTGAGCAAACCAGGTTTTTGATTCTTGGGCCAAAGTAAAGTGGTGTAAAATATTATAAATATATGTATAGCTGAGCGCTGGCGGTGCACGACTGTAAAATTGCGAGGGATGTGAGAACCATACAAATTCGTGAAGCTTCCTACCGGGCAAGTTTCGCCATCTTCTGGCTCACCGGAGGAATGGCAGTACAGCAAAAGTATCTCCAACTGGTCAGGAATGGGAGCGTTACCTCCCCCCGCCCACACATACATGAGCTTTCTCCGGCCACTCTGATTTCCTCTGGTTTCCTCCCGCATGCATGCATACAGATTCATCAATGCAGTTCATCAAACATCCAAATGTAGGACCACAGAGCTTGGGCGACCGGTTCTGGCTGCCTTCTCGCTCGCCTGCAGTTTACCTGAATCAGTCTCTCGTTCTCCCCCTCTCCGACAACGAGAGGGAAAAAACTGTGCGAAGGACAATTTCAAAATCATTAATGGTTTGCACGACGGGGATTATCGTGGTGGTGGTGGTGGGACGAAGGGCGCACCCTTGCGGTGATGGTCCCATGCTTCTCGCCGAGCGTGTTGATGGTGCGGACGCCGGCCGCTGAGAACATCTCCTTCATCTGTGCCGGGGTGGCGGACGTGGCGAAGTCGATGTCCTGAGGTTGTTTGCCGCTCAGCAAGTCCCGCACGGCGCCACCCGCAATCCGCAGCTCGTGCCCGTGCTCCGCAAACAGCGCTGTTACGAACGCGATTGGCGGGAGGAATAATTATAAGAAAAAATCATTATTCTGCAGCTTAAGTACAATGCCAGTATTTGTATATGGTGTAAGCTGTCAATGTCTATAGATGTTCACAAATCAGACCTTCAGGGCCATCCACAGCAAGGGCCTGGGGCAAATCCCACAGTGTGGGATCCCCTGTCAAATGAGGATCTGATGAAGCTGGAAGATCAATAAGCTGAGGAAGAGGCCGATGAAACGATACCTCCACCATCACCACCACCGCCACCACCACGAATGTTCACTTCAAAAGGATTGTCAGAGGTTGTTATTCATTGGGAAGCAGCAATAGACATTTTCAGAAAGGATGATCCAAAAATAAAAAGCAGTTCTAGAGCTAACAGGACATGAACCGATAACATTCACTGCTCTGAGGAGCTGTACCAGCAGAAAAAAAAAAATTCTTTAGACGAATTTTGTTCTGTTCAATGTTCTGCAATCATTGCCAGAAGGTCCGGGGAAGAGCCCGGAAGAGACTCAGCTTCCTCTGGTGAACAATCCTGTGGCTCCAGCTTTCATCGTCAAGATGAAGAGGCATGTCATCCCGTCCCTTCGTCTGCACCACTCCACCACTGCTCACTCCAAGAAGCCTCCGTTAGTAAACTCTTCAAACATCTCTGATAAGGTTCATATAATTATCTGTATTCATCGTTTGTTGAAATGTACGTCCAATTATAATCACATTTTTGTATACGCATTTTTTTTTCCAGAAATGTCGACTCGGAACTCAACCCCTGATTTTAACATTATGTCTACGGGAAATTAGAGTTCGCTTTAAGTAATTTCAACTTGCGTAACATTTGCCAAGAATGCATTCCTTATGCATAGCGGTAGATTCCTGTATTTAGTTAATCATGTATTTTTTTATTGTGTCATTGTTGATCATATTTCTTCCCTAAAATAATCTCTTTCCATAACCAATTGCTTTTTGTTACATTTTATGCAATCATTGTGCCAGTGTCTTGCTTAGTAAGTGCCAATTTGTTTGAAAATAATAATTTATCACAACCTTTTAACGATTTAATTAACACTTATTGGGATAAACTTCCGAAGCCCATTCATTAAGCGTAAATTAATAGTCATGTTTTTCTCACTCCAATTCATCAACATTGATATAATATCTTAAGAAAATGTGATAAGCTATTTAAGTAAAAATGGACAAAGAAAATGTCCCCACGTGATGTCTAACAAATTAACACATTGGCTTTCGCGAAAATCTGTCTGTCCGCCTGATGATGCTGGTTGTAATTACTGGCAAAACGTCGTACTCAGATTGTAAAAGTTGGGGATTTGCTCTCCAACACACCGGTGTACCGTACTAGTAACAAATTGACATTTTCTGTTTACGTGACAAACCTTACTAATTGGCTGTGTCGGGTCATGGTGGATTTAACAACACATATTTTCGCAATCCAACCCACAAAACCTATATTATGGATTCATACTCTTAGTTCTTTCGGTAAAATAAAATTAATAAAAATAAAATAAAAATCACGACGTTTCGGAGGCAACACAAGTCTCCGTCATCAGGTGGGACCGTCACAGCCAGATTTGCTGCATCAAGTGATGGATGTTAAACAATCTAAGGTGCTCCGAACCGGGGATGGCAGTTCATGCGACTTTATCCTTGTGAACTATCAGAGTAATGCATCTAGTTATTAAATTAATTACAAGCAATGATCAATGACAAATCGATGACAACCTGAAAGTAATTTTAGAGGAGTTCATTTGAGCCAAAGACATTCTAGGTGGCAGCGATGTGACAGGTAAAATTAAACATATAACCAATGCAAGCTTAAAGCCCTGTTAATAACACGAGCAACTTACATATGAAATGCACATACAGGCAGTGCCCGGGTTACGGAAATCCGACTTTACGAAAATGCTCCCATAAATCATGTAAAAAAATTATGCTGTATGCGTAAATGTTTGCATTAGTTAAGCAAGCGCAAATAGTGCAGCGCGGTGAGCTTGCAGATTAATCCAGCGGAGCGAGGTGTAAAGTGGGGCCGCATATTCCCCAAGGCGGCGGTGTAATGCGTCGCACTCCGAGTCACGCCGTTACATTGTTACCGTGAGCATACTGTACCCGCCACATCGTGTCCTAACTTTCAGTGCAGTACTACCCTTAATTGCATTGAAATAATGCCTGGAAAGCGACCAAGTGCTTGCAAGAGTGCAGGACCTGCTCGCAAGCGTAAAGTGGTTGATTTAGAGCGGAAAAGCCACGTTCACCACCAAAACGCCGCCTTCACCGGGCCCCGTTAGGACTAAGGTAAATGGATTTTTTTTTGTAGCGTTGGGTAATTATTTTCAATTTACAGCATTACGTCATTGTTTTGCTTCGTGGTATTCATTAACAATTGGACACAGTACAGTATATGTTGCGTTAGTTTAAGTATGGGTAGTGTTAGGGTTGATATTTGATCAAATGAAAGGGTCCTAGGAAGTGCATAGCGTATGTAGAGAGATGCAATACAGTTAGCGATAACAAATCGGACGACAACGCGATACGGTAGTGAGAGAAAACGGTAGGGGAGGCACAACTATTTCCGGCTAAGGGATTTTATCTTGAATTTGGGGGAAAATTGTTCAGTTTCCGACATGGAAAATTCTGGTTACGAATATTTCTCGGAAACCTAACCATTCAGTAACCCGGGGACTGCATGTATACGTTATGAGTGCAGAATTACAGACAACATTGCCCCCTACTGAGAAAACGTGGTAGGAACCTGCCTAAAGTCTTGGAATTGAGTGCAGCTTTCCTGGACAACCAAGCGTAATAATGAATCTAATAATAAACGAAGGAGACAATGGGAGGAATCCATCAAGGGAAGGAGTGAAAAGAAGCAATTAATGGTATGCGAAGGCACAGAGCTGAAGAGAAAGGTGTTGTGGAGAGACGTTGAAAGCAGAGAGAGACAGGATCAGGCTCACTCCCATACTCTCTTAATGAGTCACTGCAGTCTCGTCAATGGAGCGGCATGGTGGTGGCTCTAACCAAAAGCTATATTATTTTATTACACGCTTATATTTAACTCACTCTGTCTGTTGTTGTATCCTCAAATCTTGGAACTCAATTTTAACCAACTTTCCCAATGTGGTATCGACTGCAAACTTGGTATACTTATGTAATACTGATGACAATACTATATTCTATCATAAAAAATATATTTTATATAAACATTATTTTTTATATGTTGTTTCTGCTTGGCTCTAATTGTCCACGGTAAACTGACATTGGCTGTAATTCTCCACTGTCCCTTACGTTATGGCAAGCTTCGGGGCCACTTCCTGGAGTCGTGGCGTTCTTCCATTACTAGTACGGTACATTTCATTAAAGCGTGTTTTTTTTAAATATTACTTATTTTGTTCACATTGACCATTGTGCAGGATGGCTCAGGATGCAGTGGCAGTCTCGATCTACAAAGTTTCAATCAGTTGACGGAGAGTTTAACTTTCAACCCCAGGGAAACATAGCGTTCCAACCTACGTTTAATATACGTCTGTTTAAACTTACAATACTATTTAGTGTGACGTATTTAGGCAGGTCAACTAAGCTGCACATCACCGATAGTTAAAAGCATTATGAGCGTGACAGGAAGGCACAAGAAATCCCTGCTTGGTCTGCTGCAGGGATTTGACGTAAGTTTTCTAAAGGCTGCCCATATGGCTTAAACAAAGACAAAGATCCTCCAAATAGCCTCGTCAGGCTGCTGGGACAAGACACTATGAAGAGCAGCACAGGACACAAAGCGGTGGTGTGGCCAGCACCATGCATTGCGGCCGCATTTGTCTCCCCAGTGCCTATGTTTACATGGAACACCAGGTACTACTCTTATGAGACCAAGTCAATCTAAAGTTCAGATATTCACCATTGATGTTGGTCGTGAACGGAAATAGAACTCGAGTCGCCGGGTTCGTAGCGCGCTCTGCTACCGCTCCACCTTCTCTACGCTACAGCTATGGCTTGCGATCACACAAAGGCAAAGACAAATATCCCCCGTATAGCCTGAGCAGACTGTTGGGACAAGTGCTTTTAGCGAGTACCTCTGAAGGCCGGCAACGGCACACGAGGGGGTGGGTGGCCAGCACCACGCCCGGCCAACATTTGTCTCCCCAGTGGCGATGTTTACACATCGCACCAGGTACTCATTTGAGTCCGAGTCGACCTAGGAGAGGCCCAGGCCCGGTTCAGATAATCGCCACTGGTGTTGGCCATGAGTGGGAATCAAACTCGGGGCGCCGGTTTCACAGCCCAGCGCACTAACCACGACACTACCGCTCCTCATATAAAGGCACACACACACCATGAAGGGGGTGGGGGGGGCAGTGGTGAAGCTAGGCAGTACCGGCAATGGCTTTGAGGCCATCAGTGAAGAGGCACTGGAACTCGCTGGTGCCCAGCCTCATGGTGCGTCCCTCCACCCGGGAATGCAGCGTCCTGAAGGCAGGCAGCACGAGTCGGCTCCACAACATCCGCCGCATGCGGTGGCGGCCGGGTCCAGTGAACTTACTCCACCCCAGGGTCACTATCGCCGCTATGCAACCTTAAGGAAAAAAAACAAGAGCAATAATAATAGAGAATTATGTGGCACATTTGGTATTCGTGATATTAGGGTGCAAAGATATCACCAAGGCGCTGTTACACAGAGCAGTAGATTCTGCTAGTAAGACGATGCAGCCGTGTCAATTTCCACAATTAGGGGTGCCACGGTGGTGAGATGTTAACTACATCGCCTGGTATACAGGTCGTGGGTTTGATCCCAACCCTGACGTCTGTATATTTGGAGGTTGTATGTTCTCCCTGTGGTCGCGTGGATTTTTCTCCGGGTCCTCTGATTTTTTTCCTCCACATTTACGAAACGTGCGCTCGGAGTGTTTGGCTGCCATACTTTTCCACGTGATAAGCCACTTCATTGAGCTATCACTTGCGGCCAGGTCGCTTCTGAAAGAGAACTATATAGCTCAGTGAACCTTACCAGGTACAATAAAAAGTTAAAAAAATACGGAATTCATCGGACATTCGTTTTTACGTGGTAAACTTGGACCATGAGGCCAGGATACGGGAGCCACTATTTTTCGAACGCTGTCACAGGAACTTTAATGTTCACCATGAAGCAGATGCCGTGTATTTATGGGCTATATACAGGAGAATTAGCCGAGGCGGCCGATGGGCTTGAATTCTGACAATCTTTACAAGCGGAAAACGTGCTATCTCTTGGTCACGTCACAGCCAAGCGTGTCGCGTTGTCAGTGTTATGAATAGATGTATAAACTATCCTGTGTTCGTATGTTATGCGTGACAGTGTGAATTTTAAACCTGAGAAGCAAATAAAAAGTGATAAGGCGCCTCGGCTAAGTACCAGAGTTGGAGTTATATGTTCGGTGGAAAAACGATTACTTGTTGCTTGTTCACGAGATGGTTCGAGTCAAGGGTAGACCTAAGCGTTACTGTCTGGTTGGTTATACGTTGCGGTAGGGCCAGCATTGTGTTGGCTAATGTGCTCCACCGGGAAGACAAAGATAGCCAGGCATGGTGCTGGCAAATAGGTGCTCACTAAGAGCTCACTCGCCCAGTCTACACAGCTTGCATGGAGTGTAATATGTAAACACTGCCCTTCAGCTGTGTGTGGACGCTGGCCTCTCGTCTCTGGAACAACAAGGGTGGAAAGATTCCCATCCAACAGTCGAGGGGAATTTCCACCACTTAACACCACAACCTTGCTTCAAGCCACTCACGAGGTCAAAAGTCAAATTACTCAAATTGACAAAATGAATTTTCATTAAATCTAGTTCAAATCCACGGGCGAGTCAGCCAATCATCCCCTCCAGGAGCGAGCCGGCCTCCAGAGACACCCACAACACGTTCGTCAACCACACCGTCCAAAGGTTATATAAACATAATAAGCGACGTTCCAGGCAATATACCTTTCTTCATCTCCTCTGCAATAAGGCGATAAGAGCCACTGCTCTTCTTAATTGCATTGGCCGAACGTCCACTATTACATCGTGTCCCTTATGGAACAGGGTCTTTCTTGCCTCTAATGTGTTGTGGAGTTTGTGTCATTAGCGCTCGTGTGCCACTGCCAACGCAGAATGACCATACCTGGCATGCCCTTATCAGTGTCCTACCTTATTACAGACCAATTCAGACCGTATTGGTCACCCCGTGCCCTTATAAATCTCAACGCTCATACTACAAAGTCCCATCACAAGGAGAGAAACACGAAGACAGATTTGTGTTGCTGCCCGTATTGAAACGGCTGTACGCCGTATGGACCTGTACAAGAATACGGGGTAACTTATGTGGGTCGACAGGACTGAATTAAATATGATGTGATCATGGACTGCAATACTGTATGGGGCAGTTCAGCGAGATAATACTGGTAGGAACCTCCTGGTTACACCATCCCACAGGGGATTATTGTGTCCGTCCGTCGTGCATCCAAAAATGGGAGGGGTGGGGCTGGGTGGAGAGGGGAGGGTGGGGAGGAGCTGGGTGAGGAGGGGCTGGGTGGAGAGGGTGGGGGGTGGGAGGGGTGGAGCTGGGTGGGGAAGGGGGCTGGGTGGGGAGGGGCTGGGTGGGGTGGGGCTGGGTGGGATGGGGCTGGGTGGGGTGGGATGGGGCTGGGTGGGGTGGGGCTGGTCACCCCGTGGTGCCCTTATTAAACTCAACGTTGAACCTACTCACGCCGGCTTGTGCCCGCCCTCACAGTCGGGCATATTTGCGGAATACACCACGCCGCCGTTGACCCTGGCCATTGACCGAGCAACCCAACGTTCCTACCAGCTCCCTCTGCAGGAGGAATGTGTTCACTGATACAACTGTGCCCCCTAGCGGATTAATAACCACACACAACACGTAATGAGCGAGCTTGCGACGGACACTGCACACATATAAAAAGAAACATTCCTGCATTTCACCCTCCACGTTATCAGCCGTATAATAAACTACACGACTGTCGGAGTGCTGTTGGTAACCAAAGATTAACAACAACAAGTCGGGAAGTCGGCTGAACAGTTCGCAATGTCACCATTCGGTTTGTTGTAACGATTAAAATCGGTAAAGAGTTTGACAGATTTGATTACCCGCTCCGATATATGCGCCGATCGATAAGAATAGACCCCCCCGGGGTTTGTTTCAACAGGCCAGGAGCTGGGATCGAACCGTCGAACCCCGAGTTCCACCACCATCGCCACGACTATGGCAGCGACACGTTCCAAGGCTGCATTCACAGACATTTCTACATACGCGCGGCAAAAGCAGTAACCGGTTTTATCCACCGGTTTTCATTCGGTTACCGTTCGCGCGAATCAAAAACTCTCGAAACTGCGGTGGGGTTTTTTGTTTTGGTGGGGGGGGGGGGGTCCTTTGCGCTAAGGAGGCCGTCACTCGCCTTTAAAACTCCCGACAGCTGGCGACGAGACGCCCTTCGAAGGCGTCTTAGCGTAGGGGCCGACGTCCTAAAGGTTTATCGTCAGAACCATTCCGCCTGCGAGCGCGAACGCCGATGGAGTCGTCGTCGTGGGTCGCCGGCCCCGGGAGTCGCCACGCTGGAGCCGCTCGCAGGACCGGAGCGGCCTTCAGCTAAAACTACGGCGAGCCGCGGGTGCAACGCACGCGCACGCACACAAAAAAAAACGCAAAAAAACGCGTTTTTAAATCCTTTATATTAAGTTCGCTTGCTTGCTTAGGACCGTGCAAATCTTTCGGTCGTTTGTTAACCCACTTCCCGTGATCCAATCGAGCTGACATTTTACACACAGACTCGTTGTGCGTGACAATGCATTTTCGTGAAAATTTTTTTAAATTTTTTTACACTGTTTAGGCAAAAATAAATAAATATTTAATTACCAATTGTTTAATGGTGCCAGACAATCATCTGACCCATAGGTGGCAACCATCTCAAGCCAGAGGACGAGAGGACTCTAGCCGCCCCGATGCCACGCATATAAAGGATTTATAGTGAAAAACTTTGTTTTTACGGGTTGACTTGTTTTGTGTGTTCACATTTCGGACAGACAAATGTAATCCCCATCACTATTTCTAGATTTGAAGCTTTCGTGACTGCAAGGATTCATACTCTTAGGTTTTTTTTTCGGTAAAGTCACGTAGGTAAAAAATAAAATTAAAATTCATAGAAGTAATAATAGAAATAAAATAATAAATCACGACGTTTCGGAGGCAACACAAGTCTCCGTCATCAGGTGGGGCCGTCACAGCCAGATTTACTGCATTAAGTGAGGCAAAATTCCAAGAGACAAGCCCTTAAATACAATATGTATTTTATTTCTATTATAACTTCTATTAATTTTAATTTTATTTTTTACCTACGTTACTTTACCGAAAAAAACCTAAGAGTACCCATCACTATTCTTTGGTTATTTCGGTAAAGTCACGTAGATAGAAAATAAAAATTAAATACAAATTTTATTTAAAAATAAAAAAAATTATTACGTTTAATTTCTAAATAAAATTATGTTTACTTTTATTTTAATTTTATTTTTCTACATACGTGACGATACCGAAGGTACCAAAGAATATGAATTCCTGCAGTCACGAAAGTTTGAAGTCAAAATCCCCATCCCACTCCCCCCACTCATGTATAACTCAACCGGGGATGCATATATCCAATGTCATTTATGTGCATTCATGAATCTACCCCCACTCCAAAAGCCCACAACATTTACAATTTACTCTCAAAACACACCGGTGGGCTGAAGTAGTAACTAATTGGCGTTTTGTTTACGTGACAAATCCCTTACTAATTGGCTGTGTCGGGTGGTGGAGGATAACGACACATTAATACTTACGCGATCTAACCAAAAAACCTGTATTATGAACGTCGTACTCAGATTGTAAACGTGTTATTATGATCAGGCTAAAAGCACTGTAATATACCCAAGACCACTTACAAAACATGGAATGTATTATTTTAACATTGATATACGCTCACGCAATATTTTTAGATTTCTCGTGTGACAATTGTTTTTTGCCCTGATTTGCGTCGTGATTGAAGATGCGTTAATTTAATTCGTGCCATTTTGGAAACCCAGGTCACTGCAAATGAGACTATCCCACTCTCTCGAGCTCTTACCCGGTGAGACAAAATAAAGTTGGTGACGATGATGTCAGCTCGGATGGCTATACATGCCATACAATCTCGCGATCATCCATTAAATATATGGATGTATATTCTTGGTTCTTTCGGTTAAGTCACGTAGAAGGGAAATTATAAAATACTGTAAATATTAAACAATAAAAATTCTCACGACGTTTCGACTGCAACACAAGCAATCATCATCAGGTGTGAAATCCACAGCAAGAAAATTTGAAATCCACAGCAAGAAAATTGAAAAAAAAATCTTGCTGTGGATTTCACACCTGATGATGATTGCTTGTGTTGCAGTCGAAACGTCGTGAGAATTTGTATTGTTTTATATTTATATTATTTTATTATTTCCCTTCTACGTGACTTAACCGAAAGAACCAAGAATATGAATCCCTGCAGTCAAGAAAGCTTTAAATCAAAATTTATATGAATTTATGTCAAACTTCATTCGCACCGTACGTATCCAACCGTGCTAATCGGAGGTTGCGGAGGATGTACAACAAACTAAACAGTAAATAGGACCAATAATGTTGTTTGAACAACTGTTCCCGTTTCATTGATGGTGACATACAGTTTTACCATCTGGTCGAGGCTTCGCGTTTTCATACTGACAAGGGCAGGCAGCGTTTACTTCCTCAACTGTGACGTTGAACTCACTCTGCTTCATCTGAAATGTGGTTCGATTCCTGACCTTTATTTTCTATTTTTCCATTTGAAAATGTTGTATAATTAACCCGGCAACTTTTAGCCCAAAAAGACGTTTAACTTCCACTGTTCTCCAATTATCAAACTATTTAATGTTTCCGTGCTCCCATTGCTTGCCGTGACATCGTCTATTATTTAGGGTTGAATATTGTTTTCATAATCACGGTTTGTACAACAAATTTGCAAAACAATTGTAGATATTTGTTAAAGCCCACAACTGAAAAACATCTCAGAGCATGCATATCCAGGGCAGTTCTTGATGGTGGACCAAGATGGAATTAATCTAGTGGTGGATAAGAGCAGGTGCATATTATCTAGAGCATTTGGCGACTATAAATGTCCACATGATAAGCCACTTCGTTGAGCTATGCTTTGTGGCCAGGTCGCGTCTGAGAAAGTTATATAGCTCAGTGGGCCTTACCTGGTAAAATGAAAATAATGTAGGTGATTAATTTATATACTAGGACGTATGGTGTGGAAACATGGATGTTGACAACGAAAATGGAACAATATCTCAAAAGTCTTCAAAGAGGTATGGAGAATTTGCATGCGTGAAATTACACTGAGTTAGATTCATATAAAAGTGAGTGCTTTTTGGTAGGAGACATTACGAGAAGAACGATGGTGTTTTGAGATTAACAATGGAGTTATCAAATCAGTTGGTGTGCAGGAACTAAGTGGATTGGCGCGTCGCTAAGACCATTAGATATCCCAGTTGCTTGTAAGATGCCTTCATCCAGCAGTTGATAGACCATGGCTGGCGAAGATGATGCTGAAGAGTCAAGCTCTTGGCACTATAGCTGCACACCAAAATAACTTGAGCCGTTGCTTATATATGACACATGTCCGGGTTTATTAGGGAGCCTTTGACCTACTGAAGTTTAACCCATAATAATTATTTTAATCCACGCAGACCGCCAGACTCATGTGCAGAGCAAGATAATCGCAGGGAATTAAATAAACTACCAGACGCCGAGCCAGCGGTATTGGTTATCTGCAATGTGGTGTGAACTTTTCAACCAAAACATGTTTCTGCACATTCGTGAAAGCAGACGTTGATATCGCCACGACATGTTTTTTTTTGTGACATTTTTGGTAACTTTGATTCAAATACTTATTCAAATACTGATTTTAATCAATGTTTTTTTTGTATTACCTGTGTCTACATTGAGGTTATTAAATGAACAGTAAGATGTTTCATATTCGTTATTTATGTGAGTCCAAAAGAGGCGAAGGTCCGTATTTAATTGTTGTATTACGTCACAGCGGCTCCATGCCCAAACAAACAATACGGCAGCCCTCATCGTTGCTCATGGTCTTGAGAAAGTGTGGGAATTCCACGTTCCTGTGGCAGGAACCACTAAACTTACCGAGGTCTAGATGTTTGTTTGCTGCGCTGAGTGCTGTTCAACACGATGTCTGACGTTTCGCTCCACGTGCTGGGTGCTTCTCCAGGAAATTAATTCAGTTCCTTTTTTTTCTTCCAACAAAACAAGAGCCTTGGATGAAGGCACAGACCGCACGCAACAAGGGGGTGGGGGCGGTGGTTACAAAAACTCGGCAGACTGAAGCCCGGCCTCAATCATTCTGGGTCCAGAGATGGGACAGGAGATTTGGGTCACTACCCAGCACACACACACACACGTGGCGACTGCGGCCGGGAGCGTCGGTTATTATAAATTCAGTTCCTTTTAATTTCTCGCAGCACATGGAACGAAAAGTCGTCGTGCTAAAACAACGCCGCCTCTTAAACGTGAAAGCAGACTTGGTTGCTCAGCACACGCTCGCAAGCACTTGAAGCAAAACCACAGCATCACGTCACACAACGCGCAATACAACGATATTAGGAAGCCACTGGAGCTATGGCACTTTTAAATCCAGATTGAAAATCATTTCTTTAGAGGTGCTTTTTGTGCTTAGGGGCCGTCCATAAATGGCGTCACGCGATTTTGGCCGATTTTTGACCCCCCCCCCCCCTCGTCACACGACGTCACAAAAAGTCAGACCCCCCCCCTCAAATATGACGTCACAAAGCTCTGCCCCCCCCCCCCCCCCCCAAAAAATAAAACATGCTTCAAATCGATTTAGACTATTGTCATTGTAGTGCGTATTTAATGTGGTGCTGCACTCTGATGTTGTAGGAAAAAACATTCCTTGAAAAATTAAAAAGTTTATTTAATTAAGTAGAACGTGTTGTCTATATTTATTTAAAGTTGCGCATTTTGATGTGACGTCACATTTTTCAACCCCCCCCCCCCTCGTCACACATCGTCACAAATGTCTGACCCCCCCCCCCCTAGATGCGTGACGTCATTTATGGACGGCCCTTTCCCCGCACATCCAATTAGCACGGTTGGCTACGTACGGTGTGAATGAAGTTCAACACACATCCATACATACAACGTAAAGACACATTGGACGGCTAGACAGTATATCCGCGAAAAACATGAACTACAGTCATCGAACTTATTAACGTAATGTTTGACATACTGATAAAATCATCGTATTACAGTACTAGACCATGAAAGCAACCCTAATTTCGGCCTTGTTAAGCATCCACTTTACAAAACCTTTTAGGCCAGTGGTTCTTCTTAACCTGGCAATGTTTGACTAAACCAGTGGTTCTTCTTAACAAGACAATATTTGACTAAACCAGTGGTTCTTCTTAACCTGACAATATTTGACTAAACCAGTGGTTCTTCTTAACCAGACAATATTTGACTAAACCAGTGGTTCTTCTTAACCAGACAATATTTGAC